TTTTCTCTAGAAAAACTTCATGAAAACAGGTATGACTTTATTGAAAGGTTTTGATTCAATAAAAAATCAGATTTTTGAGATTTTTTTCAACAAAATCTTTGACCAGTTGTAGTTTAGGCACAACTTTCTCAAAATATTTTTGCTTGAAAATGAATTCTTTAGATGCTTTTTCAGTTATTTTGAGCCGAAAATATATTCAGATTTTCTGAAAAATACATATTCAAATTTTCTAAAAGGAAGTGTGAGGTGGAATGAATCCCAGGTGCTCTGTGGAATTGGGCTGTCTTTGCCTCTGCGTTCGGACCTTCTGATTGTAGAGCGGTATCAGGAGACCTGTGTGATGAGGTGTCATCATGGTGCAGACCTGGCATTCAGCATCACTGGCTGGATCCTTATTTTAAAAAAGCACACTCAATGTGAACTTAAGTTCCTGGTAGCTTGTGTTGGCAGCATGTTGAGTTTTTCATGTGATCGTTTTATTTTTGGTGGAAACAGAAGTTCATTAGAAGTTCATTGCAAGTATGCCAAGGTCTACAGGAGGTTGATCAGAATAGTCTGAAACCACAGTTTTTACTCCTGTAATTCCTTATTGATCACAGTTACTATTTTTACTGCTGATTACCGTTAACTATTTTTACTGCTGTGTTTTACTGCTGTTTAATGCTGTGCTGTGTTATTTTGGTAAGTTCAATAATGACAGCTAGGTATAAATAGTTTTAAAAACATCATGTTTCCGTTCATGCATTTGACTTGCTTTAAGCTGAATGACCCTGATGATTTCCATCTCTCGCATTCAAGGGAGTGTTGCTCAGGCCCCTCGTCAAATGATGGCCCCTTTTGGAAAGTGGTTGTAACCAAGGATACTGAAGATCCCTTGGTTTAAAAGCAGGTGTGAGTAAATCAGCTGGGCACTTGCTACCCACCAGGGCCTCTGTTATGTCTTACATGTGAGCTGAAGTACAGGCTTAATCATTTAAAGCCCTGTGTGTTTTCATCTGTAAGGTGGCAATAATAAATACCCGTTTTGTAAAGCTGATACAGTGTTTAAGTGATGTTTTTAACTGCTGCTACTGGGTAAGAAATAAAAGCTAGATAAAATCATACATTCAAAAGTAAAAGCTTCTGGCTATCGCTTTTAAGTGTGACAAATGCAATTTATCTTATGTCTCTAAGGGACCCCATTGCAAACATGTAATGATGGCTGCATGTTTTAAAGTGTTAACTTATTGTTTTTAAGTAAAATATATGGAAATGTGATTTACTTGAACAAGAAATTCTGTTTCTGGCCATTCTAGGATACTAAAGGAGAATGATTTGAGAGTATTAGTATGGAGGTGACATTAAGCAGTCATTTCTTCAGGTATTAAAGAGATGATAAGAAGATAGATAATGTGAGATAGCAGAAGGAAGAAGGTTGTTGAGTGGTGATGGGAACAGCGGTGTCCAGATAATGATCTGCCCTTCTAATTATCCTTCTCATTTTCCCCTCCTCATCTATCTCCAAACACCTAAAAGCAAGTGTAGGTGACTTAGTTTAGCAGCTCTAGCCTGCACTAGCAGAGGGGTCGGGGTAGCGGGGCTTTGGATGGGAGGCAACCCAAGCAGGTAGCAAAATAACAGCAAGGCCTGAGTCTAGTACAGATGCTGGTGGTGCAGAGAGGTTTGAATGCCCTTTGCTACCTGCTCTAGTGCCCTGTGAGTGCACAAACTACCAAAAATACATCACAGCCCCTCTGCAAGGGCAGCTTTTAGCATGTCCTTGGCTGGCTTTGCTTTAGGCAGATTTTATTCTGTGAATTCTGCTTTTCAGTCAAGGCTTTGCAGTGTATTGTTGATTCTAACACATAGTGGGGGGTGGTTTTATTTTGGTTTTTTTTTAGGATTTTTTATTTGTTTGCTCTTTTTCTCTAGTTTGGGCCAGGCATATGCTCTGAAACGTGGAACTGCCTTGCCTTTCCTGGAGAGTGGGCGGCTCTGCTGCTCTGTGTCATTTCCTCCTGTGTGGGAGAGGTGGCAGACAGAGGCCCTGCTTCCCGGCCCTCGAGCCAGTAATGCTTGTTTTTTTCCATTAAGGAGTAATGCTGCCATCAGTACTAGGGATGGTAGTCAGGGACTTAGATAGAAAAGTGTAAGACTGGAAAAAGGAGACATCATCACGGTAGCAAAGGTGATATTCAAAGGACCAAGGGATGAGCTCAAAGGAACTGATTTATCTCAGTCATAAACAGCATTTTGCTGAGTTTAAAATACAAGGGGGAGTAAAAGCAAAGCAGAAGCGGCATGTGCCTGCTCTACTAACTGCAGTGCTGACACTTACTAGCGAAGCAGCAGTTACATCCCCATAAAGCAGCACAAATCCCCCAAATTTGGCAGCACTATGTAGCATGGGGACAACCAGACTTTTAAAGGAAAAACAGATTTTTTCTTGATGAATCAGCTGACTTGAAGCAAGCGACCTCAGAAGTGGCCCTTGTTGCTTTACCTTGGCCCCGCAGCCGTTACTGTGGTGCTAGGAGTGGCGGTTCACAAGAAACGTGGCCAAGATGGGGAGGGTTTGGGTGCCTTGGGCGGCCGCGCTGCCGTTCCCATGGAGCCTCTTGGCCGGTGTCTGCTCCGCAACCTTCCGTGATTAGAGGTCTCACCTCCCGACGCTGTAGAGCCGTTCCCGTGGCTCCCGGACCTAAACAAACCCTCTGTGCAGAGCTGCCCGCGCTGGGAGAGCTGGGGCCGTCAGCTCCTTTGTGGATGTGTCCCACGTGCTGCCGCGTGGCGCTCCAGCCCAGCGCCAGCTCCAAGTGCTGCCGAGCAGAGGGACGCGGCAGGGCCCAGTGCCGCTGGCGCCCGGCACGCGCAGAGCAGCCAGCCGGACCCACACGCTCCTGCTGCGTCCCTCGCTGCAGAAACTAAGGCCGAGCAACAAGCAGGGCTTGTAAGTGGAGCAAAGAATGACAGGCCTGACTGTGAGGCCTACAGGCAAGGCGCAGCTTGCTTGCTCAAGTGGTATCACATGTCTCGAGTGGTATCTTTGCTACATCTGTTGCAGGCCGGATCTGCAAAGTGGCCCGTGCGAATGCCGGGCTCGCTGTCACTGAGACAGAAACCAGGACAGAGGCAGCCGCTCAGCGGCCGAGGAGCTTGTTAGGCTCTAGGCATCCATCACGGGTGCGCTGCAACGGGAACCAGTTACTAGCAAACCTCCCTGCTGCAGTCCCTGGTGTTTGTTTTGGGCAGCTACCGGGCGTTGCAGGGGGCCTTTGGGCAGTGGACTGGGCAGTGAGTAGTGATGAGTATCTGTCTGGGGGTGTCTCCTGCCGACTGTGCAGCGGCACCGTTTGTCTCTGATATTAAACCTCCCGGTGGAGGTGTTACCAAAATGGGGAGGAAAAGAGGATCCCTCCTAGAAGATGTATCTAGACGTGGAGCCAGAAAATGGGAGAGTTCAGAAAAAAAGAGTAAACCATAAAAGAAGGGTGATTAAGGTAGTGACTGTCTAACTATCGATACGAATGTGTATTTTAGAGCTAAGGGATATATAATACCACCATTTATGCCTCAGACTCATCGCGTTTGTCAGCACAGATGTGGGCAACAGGGGCTGGGACAGAAGGAGGATTGCCAGAGTCAAGACTGGAAATGAGCTTTTGCAGAAGAAACAAAAGGAAAAGGCCAGATCTTGAGGAGGAAAAGCTGCAAAATTTGTCTAATTAAGGAATGTAGAACTAGACCAGGTGAGCTAGGGACATTGATTTGCACATCAGGAGGAGAGGAGAAGGCAGGATGAAAACCAGGACAGCAGTGTGGGGAACAAGGCTGGAAGGGCTCAAGAGGGAGGTATAGTCCACATGCTGTGGACAGGTCACAGGTGAAAAGGGTAATATAGGTGCTAAAGTTTGAATGGAGATTTATATTATTATTTATATGGAGAGTTGTAGTGGGGATGAAGGAGACATGAAACTCAGTTAGGTAGACTCAGGCATAGAGCTGAAGAATCAGAATTCATGGTGTATTTATGTAGCCCTGAAAAAGTACAATCTAGTACAAAATATAATCACAAAATAAACTCTTGCAAAACTGCTGCAGCTACAGTTAGCAGAATCCGACTCCCTCTTTTCCAGAGGGGTGGGAGGGTGGAGAGCTAGCACTGCTTGGAACTCGCTCCCTTTCTTCCTGCCACAATCAGATTTGGTCATGATGAAAAAATTGGCTTTGTCTTCAGTTGAAGCCTTCGTACACATTAATGTTTTTAAATAATGGATCATGTAGTCCTAATATGGGCACTGAAAACAAAAGCTATCCAAATAAATACTGGGAAAGGCCCACAACTTCCTGAAGACTGATAGCCAGATTTCTTTCTGCATGCCTTTTACGTCCTGTTAATGATATGACACTTTTTCCCCAGTAATGTCCAAGACACATACTGCATTAATCAGATAATGTAACTTTCCATGATCTAGCCCAAAAAAATGTAATTTAACTTTTTTTGCCCCACCCTCTCTGATTCTCTTTGACAACCAAATTATTCCTAATGGTTTCTCCCACCCAGTAAGTTTGGCAGAAGTTATTATATTGTTCTCAGAGCAATGTTTGTAATTTAAAGCTGTGAAAAATTCACACGGTGTGGTTTGCTACCTGACCCCGCACTAAGAACTTGCTCTTTGAAAGGCGTATCCATGTTCCTCACTGCACTCAAATAAGTAATCCTGTGAAAGCCAGTGGGGCTATGGACACCAGTACAGATAAATGTACTTACATTTTAAAGATTTAGGTACCAGAGCATGGTACTCCAAAACAGCCTTATGCACAAATAGCTGCGTTTTCTTTCAACTTCACAATGAATGCATGGTAATTAGTAAGTATATTTAATGTGTGGTGCTTGTATGAACGAGAAATGAATGTATTTTCCAATCTTGTAAAATCAAGGTGTTAATTTCTTTCCTTGCCCCTTACTGTAGCACTGGTCACATCTGACACAATTTAAGAAAGCGTTTGTTTTGTTGTAGTTGCAGGTTGAACTTGATCAGGAATATCAAGACAAATTCAAAAGACTGCCTTTGGAAATTCTGGAGTTTGTACAGGAAGCCATGAAAGGGAAAATCAGTGAAGATGGAGACCACAGTTCTGCCCCTTCTTCCCTGGCATCTGACAGTGGAAAATCAAACCATAAACCTCTGCAAAGTGAAGAGGAATTGGAGGAAGATAATTCAGAAAAAGTGTTTGATACTACTTTTTAATTGCCCCAGCAGCCCTTAATATGCAGGGGCCCAGCACTCCCACGCCGCCCATCTCTGCTTCCCGAGATGAGCTGCC